CACAGTGGTGTTCCAGCAGCAACTTTAGGGTGCTGCTGGGACACCCTGTTAGCCCTGGCACCTAGGACGATCCAAGCAGCGTTTATTTAAAGGGGCGATGCAGCGATTTTTGTACTAGGCGCAAATACCGCTTAGAACGGATCCCCGACGTTAATGATTTTTAAAACACCCGCTTCTTTTTCACCACACAAAATCAAAGTCGCAAAAAAAAAAAAATAGAAAAAAAAAAAAAAACAGGAGCGTTTGCTTTTTTAATTTGCAGCCAGAAGAAGCGGCCACGTGATCTGGAGCCGATTATATTCCGCCAATGTTGATCATATATCCATGCGCTAGGGTTGGCAAGGCACAGGACACGAGCCGAGTTCCATAGTTATGGTTCGGCTATTGTGGTAATTGTAGAGATTGGACACGGGCATAGCCTCCTCTATACTCACAAAGCCTGGCAGTTCTACGACGGAGCCATACAGTGCCCGGTCGCAGATTTGGAGCGCGAGGATCTGGTAGCAGAGAGCATTTCAGGTATTCAGCACAGAGCTTCTGCAGCGGCGAGGACCCGATACAGTGTTTTCAAACCCGACGGTGGCCGAGTGGTCTATTTTCCGTTTCACCTTATGTTGTACGCAGACAAGGCTAGAAGCGCGAGCTCCTATAGCATTGGGACCTACTCTTAACGCATGAGAGCTTGTGCCGCCGAGATGTGCCCTAGAGCAAGAAGCTCGCGCTTGTAGCCTCTCCTGCGGCACATCATATAAGGTGAAACAGAGTATAGCGCACACGAGCTCGGAGCACGTGGAGCGAAAGCTCGCGCTGCAGAACCCAGGGATCCTGGGCTCAATCGCCACCCCTGTTCGAGCCCCACCCCTGCCCGTTTCGATCTGGATGAGCATCGTACCGGCGTGCGGTCGTGTATCACTACTGCGTGATGCACGTTAAAGACCCCAGGCTAGCGGCCGTACCGCACTGGCTAAATTTCTCATCTACAGTTGGGAGACTCGTCGCCCCTCTGAGGCAGACCAAGTTCTAGGCTGTATAAACACACACACAACCCAATTTTAACCGCCACCCCTGCCCGTTTCGATCTGGATGAGCATCGTACCGGCGTGCGGTCGTGTATTACTACTGCGTGGTACACGTTAAAGACCCCAGGCTAATGGTCGTACCGAACTGGCTAAATTGCTCATCTACAGCTGGGAGACTCGCCGCCTGTTGAGGCAGACCAAGTTCTAGGCTGTAAAATCATACATACAACCCAATTATTACTAATATTCAAACCCGACGAGAAAAGAAGCGGTAGTGCGAAGAACGCGAGGAGCATGAGCGGACATTTCATCGCTCGGGATAAGTGTGTTTCGGTGTTGCGCCGCAGCGGGGCGTCCGTTACATGCCTCTCCTCTTATCCGTTGTCTGCCGCACTACCTTTTTCACTTTCGGCGGCCGCGTCTCGTGGCGATATGCCAGGCTTTGTCAGTATAGAGGCGGCTATGACGCTGGGCACTACCCGAATGCTTCTCGAGCTATCGATTATCACGAGCCCAAATCGAGTGCCCACGCAATGCTCGGGTCAGGCTTAATCTATGAGCCGCATTCAAATACCGTCACTGGGCGATAGTGCGACCGCCCAACTGCATCATCACGTTTTGCAAGGGAGAGATTGAATGAAAACGCTCGGCTTTTGTCCTTGAAATCACACCGCAACAAAGGAGTTTCTTGGCCAGTGGCGTTGCGCGCGAGTACCATTGAGTCCCGCTATACTCCATTTCACCTTATGATGTACCGCAGTAAACGCTACAAGAGCGAGCTCCTTGCTCTAGTGCATATCTGGGCGTCACTAGTGCCACTGGCCCTAGTGACGCCACTGGCTGTGATGCACGCACGAAACCGGAATCCCGACACTGATGACTGCTCCACGTGCACCTTACACACTCGACATCTGTAAGGTCCTCATTTCGCGGCGACCAAGTCAGCAATAGACCGATCTCAATAAACGTTCAGCGCATGCTTGACGCCACCATAACTTTAGTTGATAGGAGGAAGACAGCAGTGCACAACAGGGCTCGTGCCGTCTCGTGCTCTACACGCGCAGAGTTCCAGCGAGGTTGTCGAGCGTGCAGAAAGAATACAGTTCCCTCGATGCATTGTGGCATCGGTGCGTAGTTAAACTGGCTATTGAGATAGCCAGTTTAACTAAATGAATTGATTAAATTTTTGGGTAAAACATAATTTTCGAGGTTTAAAGGGGAGCTCCGCCGCGTTTTTGATAGCCTTCGATTTGGCTAGAAATCGGCGGACCGGATCAATAACCCTTACTCAACTAATAAGCAAAACATTTTATAAAAATAAACATTTTCCGTCAAGTTATTGAATTTTCACGTTACGTCGGCCGCGAGGTTTTAACAGACAACTCTACTGGTAACAATGAGAAATCCCTACTTTTCCCTACCCGTGTACGTCACCGGCGGGCCGGTGAACGAGCGACCCGGACAGCCACGAAGCGGCATTCGGTGCGCCAGCGATCGAGGTTATTTTTTCACAGCTTCAAGGTTGATAGTTACTTTGCAATGGGTAGCAATCTGTGCTCTGCGGTAAATTGTAGGAACAGTGCCGGGAAAAGCTTCGTTTTTACCTTTCTTTCCCTACACACACAAAAAAAAAAAAAGAAAAGAAAAAAAAAGTTTTTTTTGGCAACAATGGAGGCCAAGGTGTTTTTGCGCGAACTGTGTACCGAGAGAATTAGGGTCGCATGAAACAATCTCGCTTGTGCTCGGAATAGTTTATATACTTTAGAGCCGCGTGCTGCGAGTTGAATATGCTTCTGCGGCTGGAACAGCTTCAAGAGCGGCCGGCGCTGACTCAAGCCGGCTGTAACCACTACAACATCCGTCCAAAGGGAGCGCTAATAATGTCGAGAAATATAGTGCACATTCTAACACTACAGTCGACATTTGGCGCAGTCACATTTGTTGTCCACAACTGCTTCAGAGATTTTTTTTTTTTTTTTTTTTTTCATTAACATTGTTTTGGACATCAAATCTAGCTCGGGCTACTCTCGGAGTTCCACTCACGCGGCCGCTCTGTTGAAGACGAAAAGTGAAACGTCTAAACGAAGTTCTGAGTTTAGACGCGGCTTTCGTTTCGACACATTGATATTCGTGTCTGGTATTGCAACTGGAATGCCATTACTTTACTGGAATACCAGTAAATAGTCGCATTTAAAATAATTCTTGCTTACTACAGGCGTTAATTATTCGACGTAGTCGCTAAAACAATCTCTTCTAAAGCTACCAACACCCTTCGCACCCTTTTACCTACTTAGAAAAAGGGAGTATTACGCTAAATGAGTGCGCTGAAAGAGTAGCGATGGGTGTAAGTCCCAGATCACCCCTCTAGGCCCCCAAGGGTGTAAAAATTTGATGTGCGAGGGCGTGCGATATGTTCAAATTCTTTTTTTCTTTTTCAACTGGGACGCCTGGCCCCGTTAAAGAAAAAGACGAAAAAAAAAAAAAAAAGTCATGCTGCCTGGCAGATGGAACGAGGGAGGTTACGGAGGACCTTCGGGAAGACAAGACTATTCTCGTCGGTGGGTGCGTAAACCGCGTAGACCCGGAGACTTGTACGAGCCTCCCACCGACGAGTTGAGTGGCGCAAAACTCTGCTTGACGCTCTTATTCCTCCTAGCCTTGGGCTGTACGGCGACAGAATACTACATACAGCTGCTACCGCTCTTTCGAGAGGCATACCAGAAGAGCCACGACAAAGAGCGTGTCGCAGAAGACGCGAACGAGCCCCGTGCCTACAACGACCGGACCGGAAGGATCATCGAGCCTCATAGAGCCTGGATGGCCTTCTCGGAGCACTGGCGCTCGCCGTACGGCGCACTGCACGTCTTCTCTGCTTTCTACGTGCACGAAAAGGACGGCACCACAAAGCCTCACGTAAAGGTGACAGCTTTACTGTCGCCAAAACTGCGACACACGTGTGTCGTACGAGCACGTATCGTATACCTGGACTATCCCCACTCTTTCCCGACGTTAGTGGGCGTCTGCCGTCACCTGTTTAGTGACGCGCATGGGCAGAGTGACAGCAGTCGCAGCGCAGGAGAGATTCTAGAACCCGCCGTGCTGGAGTTCCCGACTGGCCAGAAAACGGACCGAATACCAACGGCCATAACCATCCTGCTGAACGGGATGGATTCGCAGGTATGGATACCAGTGCGCACATTTAGCACCGGGCCTTCGAGGGAAGTGATCGGTGTCTGCGTGTCTGCGACTGACCGAGAGTCCGCGCTCGACATGGCAGAGTTCCTCGCTTTCCACCAACTCATCGGGGTCAACAAGTTCATCGTGTACGCGACTGGAAAATCTTTTCGCACGGCCTTTCCTTCTGTGAACAGTAGCAAACTGAAAGGGGTGCCACGTAATGTCATTTTGCCTTGGTATAAAAGCGCTATCCTCCTCAGGACGACTCCATCGTCTGCTAAGAGGCTCATGCTAGAGGACTGCATGTTCCGCTCAAGGTCATTCGTCGAGTTTGTCGCTCTCATGAACGCCGACGAGCTTCTAGTGCCGAGAAAGAATTCCAGCGAAGCTGGACGTCACAGGAGGTTCCAGCTGACATGGGCTCTAGCAGACGTGTACCTCTTCGAGCGTGTGAGTTTTTGCAAGAACGTTTCGGTCAAAGATGGAGTCGCCACAATTTCGACGTTGCGTTCACAGAGTAGCATTATGTGCCTGGGTAACTTCGAATGGAAGCCGTTATTATTCAAGTCTTCCGGCCCCAAGGAAATAGGAACTCGTCAGTCGCGGGCACTGCGTGTACCACGGAAAGATTTTGTCCTGCAAAAGTATGAAAGCGAACTCAAGTGCTCGCCGCAGGCAGGATATATCGACACAGCGGCTCAGGCCTTCGCAAGAGACCTTAAAACAATGTTACGGTACTATTACCGAGAGGCTTAGACAATTTCTGCAATGCACAGCTAGTCCCTGGCAAAATATTAATTTGAAACTTTATTCCAGAGATAAGAGCACTGCGTGGTAGCGCTGTCGAGCTCAAATTACGAGTTTCTTATATATAATAAATCAGACAGAAAACAAAGTTCTGCAATATAATTTTACTTCAGCATAGCAGATAATCTATTATGTTGGGGGAAGAGAAACAAATGGTTTCCAGTTTCTCTTAAAAAAACACACTTTTAGTTCTTTATCAAGGTCCCTTTGAGTCACAACACAATTGGTAATTTGGGTGCATAACATTTGTACTGATGATCACATGTACATACTAAGATTTTTTTTAATCAAGGTTGCGCGTGATTTTACATTGTGGAGACTTCCCCCAAAACAGACGGCCAAAATTTGTACATCACGCAATTACCAGACGCGTATCCTAGTAAGACAGAAAGGGTCTACATCATGAACAAAGGTTACAAAAGTAGTGACTAGTGAAATGAGGCAAACCACAAATGCCCAATACGCATGGCAACACGACGGCAGGGAACCCTTCGGCAAAGATTCTGTACAAATGCCTCATATCAAAGGGTTCACAAAAATACCATCACGTAGACAAAACCTACCGTCTTTCGGATGCAGACAACTACAATGCCACTACAAAAGAAACAGGACTGGCTTCGAATATACACCGAGCAGTATAGACCTTCCGCTAAATTACCGAAGCACTGTGGAAAATGCTGGGACCATAGGTACTATCAGGGAACGGCGGAGCGCGTGGTTTTCGAAACGCGTTGCGTCAACTGGAGGCTGATAAAACTCTGGAAGTCCGGCCGCAGTCAGGGGATCCGATGGAGCGACAACGGGAGGCGCCAAAAGTGCGGCCACGGCACTCGTCGCCTTGTGCCAGACTGGTTTGGCCGGGGATAGCAGACGCAAAAAGACGACGAGCGCCGTGACGATGCACTTGTCACCGCTCGATTGGCTCCATCCGATCGTAGCGTTGGCTGCGCTCGGACAGATAATTGAACGCGTGACATGTGTACACTTGAAATGATAACCCTGGTAATCTTTCAGAGCCTTCTAACCCACTCCTCCTCTCCCACCTCTGCTCCTCAATCCCACCCCTGGTCACATGACCTCCCCATTAACCGATCGACGTCGAGCACCTCACTCCTCCTCTACCAACCGTCAACCAATCCGTGTCAAGCCTCGCGGCCACGCCTTTATCTGGGCTTCACTTTTGGGCTTCACGTAATGCCGAACCCAGGAACGTTTCACGTTCATGAGACGTTGACGAACACTCGTGCGAAGTGACACTTATTCTAGGCACATTTAAGCACTCTAGTTTTCGGTGTCTGCCTAAAACTGCTACAGAAACCAGCATGTGCAGCGCGTGTAACCCGACGGGCAGCATGCTCCTTGGTGCTGGGTAGTATAGCAAAAGGTCTATGAAATTAGGTTCTTTCTTGAACCGGCTTCACATTCACACTGACAATGGAGCTGTACTAATCTTGTTGCAAAGAGTTTTCACCGGGCCTATCTTACAACCAGCCAACCTTGGGCTGGAAAAAAAATACTTGGGAGCACATTTAGACATGCTTAAAAGGTATGCTGTAATGCAGATTTCTGAGCAATGCTACAAAAGACCAGATGAATACTCCTTTCAAATGTGCTAGTTGCACAAACTTTCATAGAAAATAAATGACTCTTATGCTTCTTAATTTCCTCTGGTGCCATACAAAGATTGGAACCTCACTGATGAAGAGTACAAGTTTGGCATTACAAACATTAGTTAATTAGCAATTTAAAGGCATGCTTTTGAATTCGGTTAATTATCTAAGACATATTCGAGAGTTAGAGTGCTACCGCTCATTCCTTACATTAGTCTCTTATGTTGTAGGCTTAGAAGCCAAATGACAACATTCTAAAATTGTTGGCACCAAGCCAGCCTCCTTGCACAAACGTAGTACCCAAATTTGATAATATGCACACATAAGATATATTCGCGATAAAAGCGACACAAGGATTTTCTGCCCTTTTTTTTTTTGTAGGTTAGCTCAGAAGCAGGATCAACTGAACCAGTTGGAATGCAGCATGGTGTAAAATAACACATGGTCTCCAGACAAAAACGAGACAATCAATTAATGAACACTGCAATTAAGAAAACAAAACAATGCACATACTATTTACAACATTATTAAATAGACAAAAAAAAAATGAAGTGTAAACAGTTGAGCTAAAAGTAGTCAGATTACAAGATGAGGTATAGACCGACCTGCTGTTTACAAACAAGTGAGCCTCTGCCCACACAAGATGTGGGCACTGCACCGCGTACGCAGAAACCAGATTCGCGTGAAGCGCCTGCGCATGCGCGGTGGCGACAGCAGCGCCACTGCAGCGGCGTAACGTCAGCCGCATAATATCTGCAGTAGATACCATGGCAGTCATGCAATGAGTCTTCCATACTTCTACTCGTACAAACTAGATTTATTAAATAAGCTACACCTCAAAGTAACGACACTTTGGCCATCTTTGTGCTTAAAATCATGGTTGCCAGTTATCTGAAGCTTTATCTGAAATCACAGGACACGGTTTTCCGTCCTCCAGAAACGTGAAAACAGTCCGCGACCGGGCAAGACGATGTAGCGTGAAGCCTCCTGACACCGTATCAAAGATCAGGCAGTCACACTTTTTAAGCGTAACGGTTGCCAATTCCGTCTGCTCAGCACTAAGCACCAAAATGGCGGCGCCCACAAGAAAATCGGCGAATGGAGTGCCGATGCTTTAAGTATAGCCTATTTAGTAGCTCTAGTAAGTAGAAACAGACAAACCAAATAAACAGAGCAGAGTACAAATTGCTGTTCGTGCTTGCAATGCAAAGGACTACACAGCTGGTTCAATTCAACCCCATATCAAACAAAACGCCTGCACCCTCAAAAAAAAAGAAAAGAAATCTGCTAGGGACATTATGCAAAGCTGCCATTTTTTGTACCTACAACCAACGTTATTAGACTAGATCAGTTGGAGCAGTACACCCCTCCCTTTCCCTCACTCACCACGACTCGCCTCCTGTCGTTCGACGCGCTGGACGGCGACTACGGTAACTGCAGTGCATTCTATAGAATACGTACGTTTCAAAGCACAGCGTCTACCTAAATGGCGTTCCAGCTCTGCTCTTTGCAGAGCCGTATATCGGAAGAGTTTAGCCAATGGGCGGAGCAAAGGCCGCCGCCAGCGCTGAATACTCCCTCCGTGGTTAGAGCGTAAACTAAATGTGCGGCACAGCGTTGACCAATCAGCAGACCGCGCTACGTTACAATATTGGAAACGACATTTAATGTATGAAATAGAAGCGTTTAATCTCGGCGTCTCGGTGAACATATTGCCCTGAACCGGCTTGCTAGAACAGCGTCTCAGCTGAGACTGGCTGAGAGAAAACAGTGCAAAGGGTGGGACGCGCGCGCGCGCGCCTTGATTGAGTCCCGCTTGGCTCGTGCGCTGGCTTTGGCCAGTGGATGCTGTTTCTTGCAAGTAGGGCCTGGTTTGGAGCGCACGTTCGTTTATTCTACCGTTGAATATGGACGTGACGAAAACCTCAGATGCACCAAGTCTTCAGTCACCAAGAGTTTTACCTTTTTACTCGAGCGACGCGAAAACGGCTTAAATTAGTCGAGTCGCATTTTTAGGGCTCATGATCACCACTAGGGGCTGTTCCGCGGTCTGAGTCAAACACACAGTTATGAAACCAAAATCTAGAAGGCGCTTCAAACGACGGGAGGCGGACTGGGTGAGTGAGGGGGGGGGGGGTACGCCCTTCTGCGGGAGTTCCACAACTGAAGTAATCTAGTAATGTTGTTTACACCAAACATTCCTCTATGGTACAAAACTGGACCTTTCACTAAATGTTTATCACCGGATGACATTTTTCTTCTTCTCACATTTTAGGGCCGCTGCTACGTCCTACACAATACAACAATGTGCTCCAACCTATGTCTTCACTATCCAAAATCAAATACTATATGTGCTCTATCATCTCGACTGTATCAAACTTTATAAACGTTGGTCATAGCCTACGATCAAGCTGCTTTAAAAGCATAGACAATATCAGTGAAAGAAAGACTAAGTAAACAACCTCTTTAGTGTACCCTTAAAAATCTTGAAATGGGCCACTGACACAAGCAGATGCCAGCGCGACAGAAGCTTCTGACTACACATCAAATGGCCATATGTTCACACTCAAAATGCATAGCACCAAAGCACAAGCAAGCGCCTGAGCAGCACAAGTATCTAAACAGCACAAGTGCCTAGTATTGCGAGTTTCCAGCACCAGTCAGATGCTTGATCAAACTTGCATGAATGTCAGAGAAGTCTTCAGCCATAGATCTGAGCATGTACAGATACCTAGACGAAGGTACTACAGAAGAGCTCCCATTTAGGGATCTCCATTCTGCTCTAAGCACAATGTTGTTTCCGAGACAATTTCTAAAATCCAATGCTTGTTATTGCTAGCAGTGGTCACAGTTTCCTTGCAAAAAACTGGCAAATAAATTTTTCCAGAACATTTCTTCAAGATAGAAAATGAGCCATCGAAGTGGAGCACGGTTACTGCATAAGCTTCCAAGTCTAGGATACTACAAAAGCCTAACAGCCAGGCCATACACACCAGACACAAGACCAGAATATGAGGTGAAAGACAAGACACCATTGAAAGGGACAGCTACAACCCCAATGGGTAAGGACAAGGCAATTGAAGCTAATGCGCACAACAAGCAGTTCTGCTCCAATTAAGGTATTTGACCTTTCCAAAGACAAAGGCTCCGAGGGGTGTCTCTTTGTACTGACCAAATTACACAATTTAGCACTCTCGTTATCATTTTGTTTTTTCGGTTGGGATTTGATAAATGCAAAACATATAAGGGGCATCGGTGGCTAAGTGTGTTAACACACCGACCACAGCTCGGAAAACTAGGAGCAAAAGCTCGCATGGCAGAACCTAGGGAACCTGGCATCAATCTCCGCTCCTGCCCATTCCCATCTGCATAAGCATCGTATCGGTGAGCGGTCGTGTATCACCAATGTGTGATGCATATTAAAAGACCTTAGGCTAGCAGTGGTACTGCAGTGGCTAATTTTATCTTCAACAGGAAAAACACCAGATGCACACTGGGGCTGACAAACTTTTTCCTGTATAAGCATACACACAACACCCATACACAAAAAGGGCTAACTTCTTCCTGTATAAACATACACACGACACCCATACACAAAAAAAGATTAAAAAAACAACAGAAGACAGTGGGGGAAAAAAACGCAGAGAAGGCAGACAAGGAATGCTGTCCGTCACAGCTCTGTGTCTGTCCCTCGGCTACGTTTCTCATTCATCAAATAGTAGGTTCGGATGCTTCACCAATGTACTTCTGTAAGCATATTTCTACTTGAAAATGGTATTCTGCTATACCTTCACATACAAAATAGACATCAGGCTTTAATTGTTCATTTTTTTTAGTGATGGCTCTATCGAAACAAGACTAAACTGTAGAAATATGTCTCACGCGAGGGTCTGCAAAACTTTTGCAGTTGTGGTTGGTCGAGTCCTCACGAAGGCGACACAAAGGGAGCCGGACGGCAAGTCGCAAAAAGGGGGGAAAGCAAAAAGCTAAATAAAAAAAAGTGAAAACGTTCTTGCACAATGCCAACTGGAAGTGCACCCTGTTCCTGTCTAACCTCATTTAAGGTCAAAACTGCCGGCTGTGTGAGAAAACGGCAAGGTGGGTGGGCGGGGAAGGGGGGGGAAGGGATTTTTTGGTGTCATGCCTGGGGCCGCATAAACCTGCCTCGCAAGCCGCGGGTTGTCGACCCTTGGTTTAATGCAGTCAGACAGTATGAACTTGAGCTCAGCAGGAGCCTATTTCATTAAACGCACTATTGAAATGGAAATCTAGAAGCTTTTATGCACCTTCCTAAACATCCTCGTCAATGTCGACTAAAGTTGCAAGTGTCTAAATTCCAGTTCTATATAATCGAACGATGGTCTCGTAGTTACTTGCGACTCTAGCTAACTATAGGGAGCGCTGGTCAGGCAAAATGGCGAACGAAAGGAGGTCGTTTTCGTCGTTCAGCAAGCGGACCCCCACAAATTTCTCTCACTGCAGCGTAAAATCGGTGCTACATATGAAAGCAAAGCGATTTTTCGACGGTAGAAACCTTCTAGTCAATGCATAGAAATGACACGGCGGAAGCATAAAAATAATTACTGGAAACGGTGTTTGTTTTTATAGCCAGTGACAGGTCAAGAACAAAGTTGCAGCTCCTCCCACCCCTTTGCACTTCAGCGGAGCGAACGGTGAAGAGGAGGTCACCTCTTTTCCAGCGTTCGCTCTACTAAAGTGGAAAGAGGTGGGAGGAGCTTCCACTTCGTTCTTGACCTGTCACCCTACGAGAACCGAGCAGCAACGGCAGACGACAGAGTCGAAACGACCTCCTCTCCTGAGCATCTCGGCGTTGCCGCTACGCGGCGTCGATTTCGCTGGAATCGCCAATAAAGGTTCCTAGTGCAAGTCAAAGCATTACACATATACAAACACCTTGTTTACACTACACAAACAAATACCTGGGGAGCTACACAGGAACCAACTACTAAACTATCACAGGAGGCTTACGAGGTATTCCTATTCAGTAAGTAAAACAAGCACAAATTGCATCTTGGAAGCATAGCTAAAAATAGCCTCTGACTGCTCACACCAGAGTTTGCAACAAATGCCATATTAGCTTTATAAAAACTATTTTTACTCAAGACAATCGTGCATTGACGTTCAGAAAAGAGCAGCAATTAAAACCATAATTATATAGAAGTATGCAAGTAATAATGCAGTGATGCCACTGAATAGTGACTAAGAAGCGTTAAACAGGCACTGGCTAGCAAAACAGCTTGTTCAGCCATGCCTAAAAATGATTTGTCATATAATGCCACAGATAAGGTGAAGAGGAAAATATTAGAAGTGAAGTTCTCTCACTCAAGCTATGCTGCTCGGGCGACTCTAGCAAAATTTCTAAGATTGCTAGGGCATCGTAACCACACAAAGCTTCCATAAAAATCTGAGCAACAACACTCAAGCTGAGAAAAAAATCTATTTAGCAATTGCACGAGCAACAGGAATACAGCATGACCTTGGAATAACCTAGACACTCACTTTGTAATATCCCCTGACTTGCAACTACAATAATAATAATAATGAAAAAAAAAAGTGCAATAAAATGTAAGCATTTACAAAGCTCTCGTTACTTCGATATGACTGCCACAAACTAAAAACGAATCTTTCAAAATCATTCCTGTCGCTTCAGAGCATCATCATGACCTCAAAACAATGCTAAAATGCACCCACCGCCGGAGGACGACCATGGTGCAACCCTGGACAGTCCATGATTCGTGCCAAAATAAAGAAAGCCAAGGACACCAGAGCCGAGGGTGGGAAAATCATAGATGTCACAATGGTAGTGTCGTGACCCTGAAGCGACCTTCATGCACACGCACTTGCTGTAGTAAAACTATGTAGCAATGATGCCATCCAACCCCAGGTGCCTAAAAACATTTTAAAAAGAGTTAAAAAAAAACAGACAGAAGAAAAAAAAAAGGCATGCCACGACCTTGGCATGTCGTCACAACCTAGGCCGGTGCCATCACGACCTTGGGACGACCTCCTTTACTTTCTAGTTGATCTTGTCCTCAGGGGAGCCAGAAGAGGAGCAGGAAGTGCTCGCAGTCTTCTCTTCGACCTCGGTCAAGGTCATCACGACCTTGGAGCGACCTTCGTTATTTTCTAGTTGACTTTGTCTCCAAGAGAGCCAGAAGAAGAGCATGAACTGCACGGAATCTTCCCTTCGGCCGCCGTGAGTAGACCGTTGCTGCTGGCGTCGTGGTTTGCGTTGGGATTGGTCAGCTTGACGGCACAGAGTGAGCAGAGCCTCTGCACCCGACTCAGACTAGCCATGGCCACGTAGCGCTCGCCGGTCCACACCACTGAGCCCAAGGTGTGCAATACCCAGATGCTGAGTGCCGTGTACGCCTTGCCCGCTGCCATTATCATGACAAACTGATGTCCTACTGCCCAGAGGCGGTAGTTGGGGCCGTAGAAAGGATCGGACACGGCAGGACACAACATGCCGTTCAAGTTCACCTCGGTTACCTGCAGAAACAGGGTGTCATTAACCCTTTCGTGCCCAAAACTTGAAATATCGGAGACCTACAAACCTTGACATGGTTTTAGAACACACAGAATACTGTAAAACTTCTAATATTCGTGAGCTCCTAATTTTTGCGAGTTTCGCGACTTATAAAATTCGCGAACTTGAGTGGACGAGAATATTTCTATTGTCTGTAGAGGCAAATTCCAGCCTTTAGAATTCGCGAAATGTAATGTTTGCGAATATGACCCCGCTGCCTAGGGTGACCACCTTTCTGCTAGCGAAATGCGGGACGCTGGAGGCGGGGGGGGGGGGGGGGGGGGGGGGGGGGGGATTCATTAACACACACACCACGAACCGAGGCTCTGTTAACACATTTATTATCCTGTGCTGTTTACACACCTGCTAATTGTATTGCAGCAATTAATCTCAATTAAGTTTCACTATGAGTGAAGTATTTTTGTGCCAAATGTGTTTTAAATGTGTTAAAGTTGAAAACATATAAATCGACTGTAGCAGAACTCAATGCATCTAATGGAAATAAGAAACAATAAATCTCTTTCGGATTATTGTTTCCTGTCAACGCCTACTTTTATCAGCATTGTCCTAGACAAATTTTTAACATTACGTTCTTTTTTGACCATTGCGAGTTGCAGGCTTTCTGCCTTGTGTGGCTGTGTTCACAAAAACAAAGATCCACAGCAACAGTTTCGCACTGACATAGCCATATCAAAATAATTACAATATTTTATGTTGAAACTTTGGCGAAAAATTTTTCTTAGAATATTTTGCCACCAAGGGGAGAGGCACAACGGAGCATGCGCGTCGGTTCTCCTGCAAGAACGACAGTCGCTTCCCGCAATGCTTGTATAGAAAATGACGTACCATCGCAATTCACACGATTACCAGTGACCTCCGCGCTTCCTTGTGCCCCGTTGTTCGGCAGCGCCACGAGTTGCAGAGTGAATTTTATATATTATGAAATGCGGGACATTTTGATTTGGGAATCTCTTGCGGGACGTGGGACACGAGCCCTCAATGCGCGACAGTGCCGCGAGTCGCGGGACGGGTGGTCACCCTACCGCTGCCCGATTTGTGAAAAATCGCGGGCAGCGAAAATAAAGGGTTTTACAGTAACAGAAATCCGGTCTCAGAAAAAAAAAATTACCTTTTTTTCATAAGCATGTTTTTGAATTGTTGCTTGTGAGCAACAATGGGCATTTGCACCACTACTTCATGCCGAACAAGTAAAAGCAGTCACAACATGAGACAAGGGTGGCAAAACTGCAGCTCCTCCCTCCCCCCCACTTTTTATCCCCAGCTGGATCGAAAGGAAAAATACAAGGAATTTTCAAAAGTCTGGACACTCAAGTATGCACTTGAAATTTCTAGAGGGGCTTGAAAACATATTTTATGTCTTTCTTGATCCTTTTAAACTAATTTAACCCCTTAAGTGCCTTGGACGAACCGTGGTCGTCGGCGGCTCCCTGGCTAAAAATGCTACGGACAAGCTCAGCTCGTCCAGTGGTTTTTTCAGTAGCCCTCAATACCACTCACGAGCTAGGTTCGTCCAAGTGGTTTGCAGTGCTGATCATAGATGGCAGCACTCGTTTTAGTTGGCGTCTCTTTCTTTCACCGCTGTTAGTATGAGAAGATACTTTGGCAACAGCCATTTGAAAATGGCATCGCTAAAGAAAGCAAGTGACTCGGAACAAGTTGAGTTTTGTTCGACCAGTGAAGAAAATGATGACTTTGTTGCTGAACTCAGCTTATTGAGTGAATCGTACAACGAAGATGACAATGATTCAGATGGTGGCGGCGATTCCATACAATCCGTAACCTTAAATAAGGTGGCTGTACCATACCTGGTGTTTTAGCGCGAAAACATCTACAGGACTGCCTAATTTACTGTTTTTCTTTACACTCAACCCCAGAGGATGCAAGATGCTTAATGTGTACGCAAAAATGCAAGATGCTTTATGCATGCACACAATTGTAACAAGGTTCATGTGCACAGAGAAATACACTGATTTTTGCGTAATAAACTATTGAAAGTCTACCTGTGATATCAGACAAATAAAACTCCTCAATAAAAAAAAAAAAAAAATCAACATTTTTAGGTCACTTAAAAAAAAAATTGCACTACTAAAGGGGTTAAGCTGTTTCTTTTCTACCATAGGAAGTTATGGAGATCAGAAATTAAAAGTCTAGCACTTGCAGAGAGGAGAAAAAAATCGGCATTCATGAAGAAGCTCGTGGGGATAACTTCGAGAAGTAAAAAATTGTTATGGGCAATGAAGCTCTGACCCTCTTGATGAATGTAAGGCTGTTCAATCGTTGTCGAAGTGGAAACTTCTCTAGGGAGGACGCCTCCCATGAAGGGAGCCCCAAAACGGCAACTCACAATGAGACTGTGTCATCTCTGAAGGCGGTGGTTGAGGAAGGTGGTCGAATTACACTGGAGAAGTCGAAGGAACTACTTATGCCACATCGACTTAGAAAATTTTGAGAAAAAAACCTTGGTTACAGCAAAAAAATCTGCTAAATGGGTTCCTCACCCACCAACACCAGAGCACAAGGCACCAATGTGATATTTTGCCACCAGTGCCTCCAAAGATTCAAGGAAGGCAAGTCTGCTACTTAGAAGCAAATTGTGACTGCTGGTAAGACCTGGTTTCACAACAGTGACCCAGAAACGAAGTCTCAATTCATGGTATGGTCAAAAAAAGGAGCACTGCCACCTAAGAAGTTTCGCTGCACCAGATCAGCCGAAAAAACAATGCTTATTTCTTCGGATTCAAGGGAGTTGTGGCCTCTGTCCCCCTTGAGGAAAGGCAAACTGTGAACTCTGAATGGTACACGGAAGTGTGCCTGCCAAAAGATTTTGAAAGGCTACACAAAGGACACATGCAAAGATAAAATTTTTTTTTTTTAAACAGCCTAGATTGAAAAGGAATGTTATAAAACAAATTTACAACTACCTAAGCAAATAACTTTTTAGATATATATATACGGCGCAAAACGAATTTATAGTGGGCTCCCGCGAGAGCCGCTGCGGGTCATGTGGTAAACCTGTTCACCGTTGCGCGGTGCCGCTGCCGCCTCAAATTCACGCCGGTGCCGCACGCTCAGCATGGTGCACCGCTGTTTCAACGCGTTTCTCCACGCCACCGCCCGCCGCCGCGCAAGTTCGTCTGCTCTGCGGTGCCGCTGCCGTCATCTGACCGGCACACAGGTTTATCACCTCTGCTTGCGCTTTTTCAGGAGATTCCTTTGGGCTCTAAAAGTTAATTATTAATCTTTGTTTTTTGTTGCACTTGAAACAAATATGAATAAGCAACTTTTAGAGACCATACGAAGCTTCTGAAAAAGCACAAGTACCACGTGACAAATAGCGGCCAACCACTTGACAAATAGCAACGACTTTTCCGCGGCGCCCGCAGGCGCCAACTAAGTTCATATAGCGCCGTATATATAGCTCTAAATTTTTTTTTATTTTTTGTTTTAACTTTTTAGCTTTCTTTTCCAACTAGACTGTTTAAAAAAAAATGTATTTTTCCTTTGCATGTGTCCTTTAAGATGCCACGAATTGGTTCCAACCAGGAGGGAAGAGAAATCCATTGTCTGGGTTCAGTGCTAGTGCATATCTTTTCCTGTTGGCACTCTTAGTGACTTTTAGAATGTGCTGCCTGTGCCTAAACATTAAAACTGGGAAGCCCCGAAAGTCTCTAAGGGTGATGGCACTTTCTAGCACCTAATGCCAATAGCACACACTTACAGAAAAAATACAAAGAAATAGCAAGAGCCAAAATTGCACAAAAGCACCGTCAAAACTAAGAATTCAAGCCAAGAGGTACTTTTTCACACACTGCAGAGCAAAAGAGGGAAAAAAGCATTGTGTCATAAAATTACCTAATGACATCTTACGACATTAGGTCATTATGACACCACGTCAGGAGATGCATTTTGTTTTTGAAAAAACGATGCAGTCCTCTTTCGTATCATTTAGGAAGACCACACGTAAAATATTATGACATAGTTTTGTCCAAATGCTTCTTAAACAGTCCTACAAACTTTGCAACTCGCCAAGTTGCCGAAATCACACGACTCGAGCGGGCGAATTGAGGTGCAACCAACAGCACAGTCAAGGTTATGGCGTGTGCATAGCCCACATTGAGCTAAACGTCATCACTAGTGCCCCTTTTAGGGGCGAAGCTCCTTAGGGTCTAGCCTTGCCCGGCGTCTGTGCTCACATCGATTGCCATCCCATCTGTCTTCTTAAAAAAAGAAAAAATGTTTGCGCAATCGACAGGATTCGAACCTGTGCGGGGAGACCCCAACGGATTTCTAGTCCATTGCCTTAACCACTCGGCCACGATTGCAGGACGAGTAGGGGGCTCTGAGATGTGGTATTAACTCAAGAGCTGGGGTTTCTGTCATGGATGAAATGTTGCATGTAGCCGCTCAACGTCTACAGAGGTGAGGGCGCTGCGGTCAAATGCGTATATATACTATATATAAAAAAATCAGCACCATCAGCACTACCTATGAACAAAATCAGTATCATTAGCACCCACCAGAGCTTCGCCCCAATCAACATCATTCACCACGTGGAGATGCGATCATTTTTTGTTTGCTTTTACTTCTCCGGGAAAGCGTAACGGGTGGCGTAAGTAACGTTTACCCTTGGCACTTAGCAATGTCCACGTCAGTGGTGTAACAAGCCTGTGTAGCGCGCTTCATGGGAGCCGTCGAGCCGCCCTGCCGTGGTCCCGCCATTACCGCAGTCTCCCGCGTCACGATTGCCGTCGTCATCTCACTGTTTGTGATTACTGTATCTCGGAGTTTCGTCCACACTACGGACATTCCGTGCACAAACTTATGACGCAGTTGTGCAGACGTCGTCGAATGTCATAGACGCCAAATGTGGTGAGGAGTGCGGTGCAGACGACACTTGTGCCTGGCACACGCCCGCTCCAATTCCACCCACCATTGCGTAGAGGATCACGTGACATCTCGTACCATGTAACAGCCATGTTCTTGGCGGCCGGAGACCAATGTTGCCGAACGGAGCCGAAGTTTCGGTTTTGATTTCTGCTAGTGTTTGAAATTAATTTTCGCGAATTTCACGAATCGCCTACAATTAACGAAAAATAGGTCCCGCGAACAGTTCCAGTAAAATGTAAACATATTGGAATCAATATTGTGATCCCATCGCATCGTGAAAATTAGAACCCGCGAATTATTCCAAAACTTCAGCTTTGACCTAAATCGCGAAATATTGAGCCTGCGAAAAATAAGTCGTTTACAGAACCCCATTTTTCAGGAAGCAAATGACATTTTACCAGGGCTTTTTAATGCGAAATCATTCACTATCCCAAAATCTTCGAAAGTGAGCGGAGTTGCCCTTTAAAGGACAATTCCGATCAATTTGGAACCTTTTAGGACAATGGGGAATTTCAAATTGAGAAGTATTAATATTTCTTAGCCACAGAGGGGTGTCAACATTTTTTGAGTGAAACTAAAAATTGTCTTGCTGGTGACATATATGTCTCAGTCTAAGGCAGGGGTTCTCAAACCGGGTTCCGGGGAACACAGGGGTTCCACGAGCTGGTCTCATGGGTTCTGCGAACACCCAAATTGCAACCCCCCCCCCCCTCCCCCTTCCCCCCCCCCTCCCCCGCTGCAGGCTGCGCGGCAGGACCATGCAAAGCGCTTTCATCTGACTTTGTACTGACATCGCGATTGATATGGTGGGGATATATGGGAAGTAACACAAGCAAAATTGCCTACGATTGCGCATCAGTTGCTTCTCCATCAGCAAATATAGAAAGGGGGGGGGGGGGTTCCGCGGCAGTTTTTGAGGCTTCCTGGGGTTCCGCGAGACCAAAAAGTTTGAGAACACCTGGTCTAAGGAACAGAAATCTGTTTTTGTTTGATTAACTATGAGCTCTTGCAGCTCTATATTTGTTAGACTTTTATGAGAGATTGGTGGCCGAGTGTGTTTACTACTTGTAGCAGCTGGGAGCACGTAGAGCAAAAACTTGCGCTGCAGAACTGAGGGATCCTGGGTTCAATCCCCGGCACCACCCGTTTCAAGCTGGCAAGCTGGATGAGCATCATTCCAGCGTGGTGCTGTGCATCACTACTACATCATAGAAACTTAAAACCCCAGGTTAGCAGTCGCACTACACTGGCGTGCCACACTAGACGCCCATTGGGGTTGACTAACTTCCCGTGGTAAACTTATACACAACACAATTAGACTCAACCAGTCGCGCTAAACAGTGCTAAGCAAGGGGGCAATACGAGACATGACAAGAGTGGCGAGGTAGTAAAGTGTTGCACAAGAACCACTCACCAGGCCCAGCCCCTGGAGGAAGAGAAAGTGGTACAAGTACTGCAGTGCCACACTCATCAATGCCCAGCTGGGATCACCTAAAGCCTCTGTGGTGAACACTCCTGAAAGGGAGAACGAAAGAGAAAGTAGGGGTCACGCTTTCACCTCTGAGGATGCATTGCACCATTTTTACAAGTAAAGCTCAAGGATACTTTCCCAGTTGTCCTTAATAAATGACACTGTCATTTAGCAAGTATTAAAGCAATCATAACAGTCGACTCACTAAACAAGCTGTTCAATAATAAAGTGTGTATTCCTCCGCAGTGAGTGAGCAAAAACGTGTTTAATAGAGGCATTTTCTCCACACGAAAATCAAGCCGGGAACTGTCTGCACAGGCTGAGCGAAGACCAGCAAGCATGAAACGCAACATGTTGGCCAACAGTGGCTCCGACACGTTCAGGCAGAATGTCCCAGTGGTTAGTCTACATATACCAAACTGTGATTTATATTATAAATTTAAGAGCAAATACTGCACAGACAGAATTTAAAAAAAAAAGCTTGATGGCTTAAGGACAAAGTGCTAGCTGCTGACAAAAAGCTTCAAGTTGTCTTCTACACAAATTCTTAGCAACTTGCCATCAAACATTTCAGAAACACGAAGAGAGAGCCATTACAAAAAATAGCACCCAGCATCTTAAAGTGAGCACAATGAAGAGAAGCAGCAACTTACCGCCAACTCCGGTGCGTAGAAGATAGAATGGAATGACTAGCATCAGTGCATGCTGGATCCAGTAGGTTTCTTGCTCCATTGCCAGCTGAAAAAAGCAAATGAAGAAGTTCTTGCACTTCACTACAGTTGGTTTCGTTTTGTTGCCCAGGTCCTTTTGAGCAGTTAGCGTTAGCCCCAAGCCCCATCCATGAGTGTGGCCCATACTCATACCCTCTACAAGAGGGGTCTCCAAACCCCGGCCCGCGGGCTAAACGCGGCCCACCGATGGACACGGTCTTTGCATTGACGCCCGACACGCAGCCCACAAAATGCAAAAATTAACACGTGTGGGGAAAAAAAAAAGGCACCGCCACACACATTTAAAGCGCAAACAACAATATCAGAAAGAATGAAAAAAAACTGCATCAAAACGCAGAATCTCTCACCATAATATTGTACATTGTGATCCCCAGCATTACTATTTGTAATTCTCTGCTTCATGTTTGTGTAACTACGATACAATGGACCTTTTTCCAGTAAGCTTCTGCGCATGCGTGCACTCCCTCTGTCGCCATTTTCGCAGGACACCAGGACGCGGTGCCCTGCAAAAATGGCGGCAGCAACATTGTCAGCATCTATCTTCGCGCGTATTTAGTCTATTTCGACGCTTTGTTTTTTAGTATTGGTAGTATGGGGTATGAAAAGCACTGAAAACCAATACATCGGCACGATGCCAGTGTGTTTTGACGGACGGAGGCATGTTGGGCTGCTCTTTTCTTATAGTTCACAGAGAACTCCCCAGACGGCACTTGTTACTCGAAAAAGGTCCATTCCTTAAGCGTTCTCACGAATATTGGGCTCAGTGTCCTGTGTCATAACTCTTGCATATTACCATCATCAGATATACTAATCATTAGTCATTTGACCAGTGTGAACTTGCCAAAGGTTCTATATGTGCTTTGATTTATGCCTGGTCAGATTTCTGGGTTACAATTCTTTTGCAATGTCATAGTTAGCAACATAGTATTACAGTTAAAAGATAAAATACCGTATTTACTCGCATAATGAACACACTTTTTTCCCAAAAAATCGCCACATATTTGGGGTGGTAGGTTTATTGCATGGGGTAAAATTTTTGCATTTACACGCTTCGTACAAATGTCACACTAGGTGCCAATATGCCACAGCAAGGTAGTGTGGCACGCCTCCACTTATGGAGGTGCACCCACGGCTGGTCGGAGGCGTGCCACAGTAACAGTGCTTCATCAATTGCAAACCTTTTAAGGGCGCTTTCGGAGAGCCTCTTGCCAAGGAAAAGCGCCCTACAAAGCTCATTCAGCATGGAGAGCAACGCAACCATTGTTAGGCCTAGCCACTTCCACAACTTCATTATGCGAAAGCGGACCACAGATGACAGCGTGTTTGTTGACATCGATTCATCCGATAGGAAAAGAATGTCCGGGGCGGGGCAATTCCTCGACCCAAGCTTCGTCAAGTGTGCACGCTGCTCGGTTTCACGGTCTACCACTTCTGCAACTACGCACTTGCAGCCATTACTAGCGGCTTGGCTTGGCTTGACTTGGCATGACTGCTTGGCGGCAAAAGAAAATTGGCTTGGTGGGCTTGGTGGCTAGCTAAGTTGGACGCAATTCGAGACTCGCGTAGCCAAAAATTGGAGGTGCGTTCATTACGCGAGGGGGAAAAAAAAGTCCAAATATTGGTACCCGCTGTTGGGGGTGCGTTCATTATGCGAGTACATTCATTACGCGAGTAACTATGGTATATATGTTCATCCACCTTGCATTGTTTTTTCAATTTATCCCCTAGTTTAAATCTGTATTTAAACACTTATTTTGGCTATTTATTTACTAGTATTTTCACATTTATATTGTTTTAAGTATTTTCCTGCTCTCGAGAAGGCCACAGGTCCCCAAACCGGCCCTTTAACCAAAATGCTTGGAGACCCCAGCTCTACAACTATAAAAAAAACTCAAGACCTAAGAGTGCCCCGACTATGAGCATTAAGACGTTGCAACCATTTGCAGCTGCCTACGAGAGGACACACTGGCACAATCTATGTAGATTGCAAGTTCATCTGCTTCTTGCACTAAGGTCACGATGATGCCAGAATGCCAAGCTCTCATTGCCTGATTAAAAAATATAGTGGGTAGACCTCAAAGCATCTAGCATTGAGGTCTACCCACTATCCTTTCGATCAAAGCCACTCAGAGTGTGGCATCGTTCTATGTTGTCACCGCAACTCCTGCGCAAGAAGCAGACTTGCTCTCCACATTGGGTAGGCCTGGAGCACTTCTGATCAGCATGCACAGGGCGGAGTGTCGGACCGAAATTTTGATTGGTTCGGATCGGGTTCGGGTTTACGGCTTTCGGTTCAGTTCCGGGAAGCAAAAATAACAGTTCAAACCGGTTCGAACCGCCAAATTGATAATATATTTCCCACATTGTTTTGCAATGGGCGCTATTTCCACTGTAAAACAAGAAACTCTATACATGCTTTTTTACTGTTTATTCACTTTTATTTTTAGGTACCACAAATAAGTAGCGGTGTGCGAATATCCACCATTTTCAAATAACGAATTGAATTTTACCCTATTCGATTTGTTAATCGATTCGAATAATAAGTTTTCAAAAGTTTTGAATATTTTTCGAATAATTTTCTAATAGTCGTTACGGTGTCACGCCGCAAGATTCCCTTCACAGGCGTCCCACAACGTGCCGGCACGCCTGATATACGTGCCCGCAGAATGGCAATGCGTACCCTCTTCTGCTAGACAATGATTGTCATCATCGGCAGCAGCAGTTTCTCTTTATACGTACGTTGCTGTTGCCACCATTAGGGACCACAGTGTTAAGTATAACCCGCATGTAAGCGATTTGCCGAGAGACGAGTAGAAGTATTAAAAGTTGAATCATAGTTCTGCTCTTGAACGAAGGAATTAATTGCAGGGCATAAAATCATAAAATGGGTACCTTGTCGCCATATATATCGTGGAATATATTTTTCGACATACCGTATAAACCGGAATACAGGTCGAATTTATTTTTGAAAATGGACCTGAAAAAGTTGACCCTCTTCTTGTATAATGGTCAATAGCGGAAAAACAAAAATAATCTCGCAACACTAGATGGCTGAAGCTGCCACCTTGTTTTTTTGTTTTTTTGTGCAAATGCCTAGTACTTGTCTACTTATCACGACGGTCACGAATGACTTTCACTTGTGCTCCTTGTTTTGTTACATTTACCGTTGCCGCTCCCGGAGTGATAATAAGCGGAAGTAGAAGACAGTTCACAGTAGCCTTCCGGAAGAAGGCAATCGCCTATGCAGAGATCCACAGAAATCTTGCAGTGCAGCGAGAGTTTGGTGTATCAGAGAAGAGCATATGTTACTGGCGAGGCCAGAGACAAAATCTGGCAGCGTGCAGCAAGGCAAAGAAAACTTCATTTCGTGGAAGGACTGCAGTGTACCCCGAGTTGGAAACAAAGGTAGCAAATTTCATTTGAATCTGCGCGGCATCGCTACCTGTGATGTCGGGGTGAATCCGTACGAAAGCCGTCAAGGTCGCTCGTGCCTCCGGGCTCTCGAGGGTGCAATTCAAAGAGACGTCATTGTCCCTTCGAAATGCGTTAGTGAACTTGTTGTCGGAGGAAGGTTCTGAAGAATTTGAGTACTAACACTGCGCACTTCTTGTTTAACTGCGTGCAAAGCAATTAAATAAATGTGCAGTTTTTCTCGTCCTTCCATACGCTTGGCCAAATTTGTTACCAAAGTAAGGTTGCATTTTCTTGCCATAAAAACTTTTTTTCCCTTTTTGCGACTTGTAAATAGGAGGTCGACCTATATTCCATGACAATGCAACTGAGCTGAGAGCAATATTTTCAAAATATCATGAAAGTTCCAGGACAAGCTCTTTCGGTCTCCCTTTTATGGGGAGGACACTGGTTAGAGATTTAATTTCTGAACTATTCAAGCGATTTGAATGAATTTCGCAGGCGAGATTTAACATAAGATGCAGGTGTATTGTGCAAACTTTCAGCTCTCTAGGACAATTTTACATGCCTGCATAAAAAGATGTGTCACTTTTTGTTAAGAAATTTATGATATGCAAATGAGCCTATTAAGCACCATTTTGACCGTTTGAATATAAAATGGGGGATATATGGGACTTTGGGCTATCTAGTTTTTATAACTCAAATGTAAATATTTCAGGAAGAGTCATTACCTCAAAATGTGAGATGCATATCTGTTGTATGTCAATTTTTGAAAACACAATTCTTTCTCAATTAGGATTTCAACCGAAAACAAATTAAAGTAGATAGCCGTACTCCCCAGTAAATTTCAGTTCAGAAACATCTTGATTGTGATATCAGAATATTCTTACCTTCGAACGAGATTCCTTCATACGAAATTTGCAGCAAAAAGTGGAACTGAGGAAAATGCATACGAACATTGAACTCCTTTACTTTGCTACTGCCTCACAATGTGTTAAAAATATTTTATATCAACATAACTATTCGGCGCATGCTTATCAAATTTATTGTCAGGGTGTATAATTAGTTTCTAAAATCGAAAAGTTCAAAATTGAAAAAGGAATTTTTCATTAAGCTCATGTCCCCCCTTACAGAAACACTGACCAGCAATCAGAAGACATGTTTTCCTAACCAACATTATTTACACTCAGCACCATGATGCAGGCAAAGAATCATGTAGAAAGAAGTGAGCAAAATTGTTCACTTTAATCTATATGCACCTTCGTGCTCAAATCGAATCTGACCTACCGTAAAATAACGGGCAAGAGCCCACTCGAAATTCAGAGATAATCGCGAAAAAATGGGGGATGGGCGCTTGTCCGGTCATCAATTTTACATATCAATGTACTGTGCATATTTTCTCAGATCTTACAAATTTCAGTATAGGCGCTTAGTGTGGTATGGGCAGATGTGCGGTATTCTACGGTAAATAAGTAGCACATACCCAAGTAAACATTTTCTTGTACGGGATAGACTGACCTAGCCTGGCTGTTGAAGTTTGTTCCTAACAAGATGCCGGTCAATTCAATTTGCAAAGAGGCATCACCCTTGCTAATT